CAGCCTGGAGCGAGCGCAGCCTCGTGCCCGCCGCCCGTGCCCGCCACCGCCGCCCGTGCCCGCCGCCCCCGGGGCATGGCCTGTCTGATGGCAGCTTTCTCGGTCGGCACCGCCATGGTGAGTGAGCGCATCCTTCGCCCCCGGGGCTTGCTTCTATTTTCCAGGAGAGCCAGAAATGCACAAAGACCCACACCCTCACCCTGACAGCCGCCCCTGGGTCCCCGGGGAGAAGCCCGGCTCCCATTGCCCCCCCGCCCTGGCCACCTGGCGCCTCGGGATGCTCCTTGCCCCGGCAGGGGACTTGGGGAAGGCGGAGGGGCCAGGAGTGTGCGGGAGGCGGCCAGCAGCCCCACAAGTGCACCGATGGCCCCACGATGGCCTGGGGCCTGGGTTCCTGAGCGCACTGGGGAGGGTGGCAGCCTGGGCCCGAGGGAAGGAGGCGGGGGGTCCTCTCTGCCTCCGTGCGCGGCCCGGGCTTGGGGATCCTGCACTTCTCGCGCCACCCTCCGGAGCGCTGGGCACGATCTGGGGGAACAAAAGAGGGAGCTGCTCCCCGCCCGAGAACCAGAGCCTGCGCTGCCCCTGGCGATCCCCGGGTACAACCTCTCCCGGATCTGCTCGGGAGGGGGCGGCGGATTCCGGGGAGGCAGCCCACGGGCGAGCCTGGATACCTGCAGGTCACCTTTTCTGCACCCTGGACAGAGACCAGGGTGGGGACAGGAACGCGAATCTCTCGTTCCCAAGGGTGCCAGCTCCGTAGAGGGACCACCGGGCGCCGGCAGATTCAGCGCTAGACACAGTGACATCAAGAGCTAGTCCCAGGGGTGGTCCAAAGTCTCCTCTTGCTCCTTTATAAGAGCTCCTTAAACTCACATTAGGGGAAAAACAAAAACAACAAAACAACAAACTGACCATCGACCCATCCATCCTAGGGCCTTTTATTTTTATGCCTAGCACACCGACATTGCAGTTAGGTACTTACAGACTAGATTTCAGGTCACCTAAAGTACAAATAGAAAGTATTCCGTATTCCACCCCACCTCGCCCTCCCTTTCCACCACTCTCTCTATCATCTGTCTGTGGATTTACTATCCTGCTAATTGCTCCCCAGAAGCTGTAAGCCCACAGTGCACAGCACGCCCGGGGTTTCACCCCCACCCCTCGCCTTATTTCATTTTTAGCATCCTGTATTTGAAGTCAGCAGGGCTCAGCAGGATTTGACCGACAGTTACCTCTTGCCTTGAGCCCAAAAAAAAAAAAAGCGTAGCTGGCTGTCTGCGCATGCTCTCTCTCACAACTGCATCCTATGCCTCCAAACAGGTTACTGTAGAACACATACCGAGCGTCGCCAGCGCATTATATAATGATTTTGTGTAAACCGATAGAATGGGGCCGCAGACATGTTTAGGACTTTGGTGAAGCAGGGCCCGGTGGCAGGGGGACTCAGCGACCAGCTCCCCTCTCTGGGCATGCCCTGCCTTCAGTACTTGGTTTCTCATGGATGAAGGGGGATGGAAACACAGGGAAGGCAGCCCCTCCTCCTGACAGTTGCTTTTATCTGGATGAATGTTTGGGTAACGCTTGGCCATTCTTCCTTTTACATTTGTCCATCTCTTTGGGATTCCTAAATTGTCAGTAATGGAAAATTCAGGAGATTATTATTGTTAGCTGTATGTAGGTGAGGCATGTTTCCAATCTTTTAGATGCCGCGTAACTCTTGAAGTCATTTCAAAGCTGCAAAAGTGGTTTATACATGTGGAAAAATAATGAAATAGAAATGTTTTAAGGTATAGATGTTTTCGTGTCAGGATTTTTTAATGTTATGTTATAGTCTGATACGGACCCAGAACTCCAGTGTTCTGCACTCATGTGGGGACACTAATGGCTGGGCTCATTTTTTTCAGGGAACATTGTTTTGTTTGAAAAATCATTTTCCTCCTCAAAAATCTTGTGTTTTTTTGTTTTGTTTTGTTTTTTAGTTTAAAAATTTCTACCCAGGGCGCCTGGGTGGCTCAGTCGTTAAGCGTCTGCCTTAGG